ATGATTACCTCAGATCATGATCGTCGGCCGTTATAGACAACATATAAAACATATGAGAGAATTTTCAGAGGCTGGCCATTATACGCTATAGGAAATTTAATTAAGAAACCGCTATAGAGTAAGGTTTTTATATAGTAAAAATTTGGTTTCTGGTTTACAGTGCATTATAGAATGGAGGCCGTTATAGAGGGAGCCGTTATAGAGAGAGTGAATTGTACTAATACTATGAGTCATTATTACAAATAATTTGATTAATAATTTGAAGTAAATAATTATGTCATAAAATAGGTTAAAATAGAAATGATGTAATGATCTACACGTGTAACATGACGTAATGTGAGTCGCAGCTGTTACACAAAATATTGAGATAAAAATAGAAAATGATGTTATTATCACGTGACTACCACAGTAAGTTGGTTCTGATTTATCATCATGCTCGGGACTTCCTCAGTCCCCGTTTACATCTCACACTACCAAATACTGGGAATTTAACAAAAGACTTCCAATTTATTTGCTGATTAGCACCATAATATGCAGCAGTTTCAATTCTTTTCCTGGTGTTCACTCCTGATATTGAAAACATCTTTTCATGGCTAGCATATTTTTCACTTTCTATTTCTGTTTTGTTAAGTATATTATTTTCATTTTTCTCTTTTGGTACTATATCTCATAAAGTGAATTAATATGAATATTAATATAATGTTTACCAAATAAGGAAACAAACAAAGAAAATTTCAAAATGAATAAAATTAATTTGAAAATTTTAAAAAAAGTTAAGTTGTAAATAATGAATATTTCTTATTACATTTTCAATTAATGAATCCCCCCACTTTTTGATCTCAAATTTCTTCTTCTATTGAGTTCCTGTTTTTCTTTTTCTAAATCATCTACTTCACTTTCATAACAATTAATCACTTTCTTTTTTCTCAATTCATCTAATCTCTTCATCATATTGTTCAACTCCTTGGTGCATTTACGATATTCTTTTTTGAATACCTTAACTCCTTCTTGATATTTGATAAAATAGGATCTTTGTGATTTAGAAATTTCCATTCTGATGAATCCTTGCCTAAATGCAAAATAAATGTATTAAATCAACTAGAGTAATGATGAGTGGCAATAACCACCACCACCAGTAATTTCTTTTCTTTATTGTTTTTGCTTCTTTTTTTGAATATTTTTTTTGACAACATTTTTTTTTACAAATTTTTTTTAAGAAAAAAAGAAGTTTATTTGATCGACGTGTACACATTAATTATTTATCCTATTGATTTTTTTTTGGGAGGACAGATGTGAATTGATTTTTTGGAAAAACAACATGATAAAACATGAGTGTTGTTGTTTGGTTTGGTTTGGGTCTCCTAAAGAAAACGTGTTAATAACTAACCAGAGGTACTATTTTTTATTTGTATTGATTGATATTTTTATTTTATATAAACATTTTAATTGGAAATCAAATGCAGAGCAGATCTTGCTGGGTAATAAGATCCTTATCAACAACAAACGATTAGCATTTTTATTTTCATAATCTATAATATTATTATATTATTATAATTACAAGATATCAGGGCAGCACAACAGTCACAGAAAAAACAATTCAATATGTGATGTTTGATTATTGGAAATTGGCAGGCGTTGAAGCACACACGCTATCTTGAACATTACAGTCATTCTCACATCTTCCTCATGTGCATAAGGCTAATTATTTTAGCACAAAGAGCTTTAGAAATATGTAACCAATAATTTAATTACAATATAAAAGAGTTATTGGTTTATAAAATTAATTAAAAATAGGATTAATTTTAAAAGAATATCTGATAAATATTGGCACTTTCAACATTTACTAATAGGCTTTTAAACTATAAAATTACTAAGAATATTATTAACTTATCAGTATGTTAATACCTTGATTATTTTTTTAAAGAATAATCAGATTCTGATATTTACTGATACCCCATTACTTAATTTGGCATCATTTGACCAGTAAAAAGAGAACCAATAGATTATATATAAGCAAAGAAAGATGGGACCCTAAATTAGCACAAAAGAATTTTAAATCGTGCACAAACATGACAGCTTGATTGACACAATGGTACAGTCTTGCACTCTTGGAATTTTTTTATTGTATAATTAATTTACATATACCTTTAATAAAACAAACAAGACTTAGCTATTTAATCATTTCCTTGTATGTGAATGCCTTCCATCCAACAAATATTCGTGATTATTATTCAATATGTTTGATATCATCATTGACATAACAAACAATTGCATCACACAGGTAGTAATAATACCAAGGCCATGCAAAAATGAAACTCTTAATAATATATGCCTACCCAGATCTCTGGAGTGCTCAAGAATAAATAAATAAATAGGGAGGATCAAAAAAAAAAAAAAAAATTCCCTTCCCATTGTATAGTTCCTTAAAATGAATAATAAATCTGATATTGATCACAGGTGTCAGATTTAATTGAAATTTCCTGTCACCAACATGGAATAAGGTGTTCTCACACCTCCTCATAACCATGGAATTTTTCCACAGGTGAGGTAATCCAAACATGTTGGAAGGCTTTGGACAAAACTTTTCTTATCTTCCCTCAGACCAGGCTTGGTTGTTTCTGTATGAGCATTAATCACTGATGCAGATCAGCATTTGTGTGATGATTGCTGTGTGTTATTCCTCTCTAAAATAAAGTTGGTGTCTGCAACCTGGCATGAAATTCTGCAACTTGGGAGGTTGCAACCTGGGAAGTTGCTGTTTTGGATTTTCCCTGAATTCAGAGTTATAAGTCCTGGTTTGCTGTCTTGTTAGTGGCATGCCTGCTCACTAACAACCCTACCCATGTTTAAACAACAAATTCAGTTGGTCAAATAAAAATTAGAGAAATAGAAAATTTATGAATCAATTTATGCATAACATACCAAACAAAATCTGATCCATTTTATTTTACAGCTTTTTCCTTGGTACTAGTGATCATGGTGATTATCACAATAGGAGTGGACAGGGTTGAGCTGCCACCTTGATACTTGTGAGATACATGCTCTCATTGAGCTACACTCCTTTATTAAGCTAGGATGGGTTATATGGGCAAAAGTTCCCACTTTAAAAAACAACAAATTCAGTTGGTCAAATAAAAATTAAAGAGAAACAGAAATTTTGGGAAAATGATTAATTTATACAAAACATACCAAAATCCAAACCATTTTATGACTTTTTCTCATTGGCCACATAGATGTATATAATCATGCAATAATTTTAACCTACGGGACAGAGGACTGATTGGGCAAAAACCCATATAATTCCCTACCCAAAATTATAAATTGGTTAGTATCAGAGAATGGAGAATTTAGGAAAATGATTATACAAAACAAACACTATTTTACAACTTTCCTCTTAACATCGGAGCCCAAATGCAATTTCAAAGCCACCAACCTTGCTCTGAATTGTGACTTCCTGTGCTTGAACGAGCTGCAGATTCTCTTAATATTCATCAGCAAAGTTGCGACTTGGTCACAGAGCCATCCTTACCCTAGAGGTGGGATTGTTGCAAGCGACTTTTCAGCTAGCGTGCCAGCAGCCTTCTCTGGTCTGGGAAGATTAGTGAAAGCGTCATTGACGATTGGTGCAGTCTCGGTAAACTCCAGGGCCATGTCGCCCTCCCTGGAATTCGGTTGCATCATTGTATCATCATGGGAATCTTGGTCAGATTAGCCTTATGTATACGAGGAATACGTGAGAATGACTGTAAGTGTTCAAAGTGGCACGCGTGCTTAACATCTGCCAATTTCCGATAATCAAATGTCGCATACTTGAAATGTCTCTTTTTCAACAGTGTGCTGCCTTGATATCTTGTGATTATAATAATATAATAATATTATTGATGATCACGAAAAGCAAAATATTATAAATGAAAATCTTGTAATTACCAAGCAAGATCTGTTCCGCGTTTTGATTCCAATTAAAATGTTTATAAACTAAAAAAGATACCACATTATATCAATTCGCGTCTGCCCTACCAAACCCCCCCCCCCCAATAGGATAAATAATCAATACATACGCGTCAATCGTCAATCATAACAAACTTTTAAAAAAAATTTTATTTTTTAAAATGTCACAACAGAAGCAAAAACTCAAAAGAAAACAAGAAATTGATGTTAGTGCAGCGATTGCTGGGTAAGTGTTTTAAGGATGGTGGTGGTGGTTATCGCCCGCCACTCATCGTCACTCTAGTTGTTATTATAAATCGCGTAAAAAAAAACTCATTTTAACTCAATATTTTTTAAAAAACTCTTGTTATATAATAAAATTTTCTCGCGTAAACTCGTTTACAAATAAAAGTAATAAAAAAACAAGAAATGATGGGTAAGTGTTTTAAGGATGGTGATGGTGGTTATCGCCCGCCACTCATCGTCATTCTAGTTATTATTAATGAACATAATAATATTAATGAGCATAATAATCTTAATAGTATTAGTGAGCATGATTCTTATGATATCAAAGATATTGAAAATTCTTATAGTTTGCAATCTGAAAACACTGAAATAGATATGAATGTTTTCAATAATAATGATTGTTTTCAAGAGACTGCCCAAATAGCTGTCTCGAAATTTTTTGGATTGATGCATATGAAGCATCTGGTAAAGTGTATATATTTGGAAAGGTATATTTTATTTAATTGATAAATTGTCATCTTTTTTTTTGATATTATAATAATATTAATTTTTTTTTACAAATAGATATTTGATGGAAGAGTTAATGGAGTTAATGAATTTAAAAGTTGTTGTGTCTGTGTAAACAATGTCGCAAGAAATCTTTATGTATTACCTAGATCAAGAAAATATGATGGTTTTTATTTTTATCATTTTTATAAATTCTGTAGATTTTTTGTTTTATAATTTTAATTGCAATCTTTACATAACTAATCAATTTTAGAAGAAGGGAATGATACCAATACTGAAGTTACTATGGAGGATGTC